AGGTTGGGTCCAGTTTCCCAAATGGGATATAAATAATAACCCATTTGGAATATAATGTCCCAAATGTGTTATAAAAAAATGAAGATTTTTTCTTTTAGCTAGAAATATTATAACTCCACATCAAAATAACTTCAAAAGCAACAACTTGTGGTTAGCATTTTTTTTCCGTACCCCAACTGATTTTATCTAAGGAGATTGATCTCTTTGAAAATCCTAAACTTTCTGGGGATCAATTTCATAAACTGGTTGTCAAAAAACTTGCAAAAGTTATTGCATTCATGTATATTATGTTGATATAAATATTTATAGCCAAAATAATTTTTTTGCAGTAAATTTATATATCCCATTTGGGATATCATTTCCAAAACAGGCTATCATACCCCATGTGGGCAACTGTTCCTAACACAAAATATAGCATTTTATTATAAGAAATAAAATAGCAACAGTAGTCAGTATAGTCAGGAAACACTATGGAAAAATATTCATAGTATGATGCTGCTACCATATTACATGTAATATACGTCAAAATGAAACCAAGTAGACCCCTTTCATATATAAAGGTAATAATACACAGTCTGTATTTATGAATGGGGTAATTAAGAGATGTGATGGATTCCAATATACCCAGTAAATCGACTAGTATGAGAAAAAGTTTTAAGAATGACACTATAATCAGCCTGAGCTGTGATTATTAAATTATTTTTTGTAGTTCTTGTTAATATAATTGATTTTCTTGTTTCCACATTTATAATTAATTCACATATAAACTCAAGTTATTGAAGTAGCTATAACTTGGTATGATTTATTTTTTCAAGGGGTTTTCATACAACAAGAAAAAACAATGATTTGATGGAATTTTTTGACCCAGAGGCAAATTGGGCTGATGGACCTGTCAAATGTGGTAAGGAACCTGGGAAAATCCTTTCCCATATATGCATAAAGATTTAATATTTTGCACTAAAATGATGGGGAATTCACTGTTTTTAAATTGCTATTTCTTTTTCTCAGGCAGGCCTTGGAGGAAAGATGAATTAAGAATAAAGAGCAATGAAGACCTTCATAAATTATGGTATGTCTCTGTGATAGCACTAAAGATATAAATGAGTCTGAGATTTAATTTACATTTATAATATGGAGGGTTCTCTACTACACATCAATAACAGAAAGTATTGCTTGATGATTCAGATTGATTGATAAACAGATTTATAACAAATACAGACTTGCAGATATATACTAGACTAGTTTTTATGCATATTTTTTGATCATTGCATGAATTGCAGTGTTTTTTTGTTTTTTTTTTAATGAAATATATTTGCCAGTTACATTTAATACTAGGAGTATAAAACAAATCAGACAAGTAACCCGGTAGTAAAATCAATTTCGAAAAAAGTAGTAAAATATCCACCACTGACAAGGTACATGCATTTTGAGAACCTTTCATATCTGTGTTGCATTCAATTTTCATCTAATTCTAGAATATTTTATTCTCAGTTTTTATTTATTTATGAACTTATTTTTTGAAAAGTGAGTAGGGGTGCATTTTTACTATTGAATTCTTAATCAGTGTGGTCTAACTAACAAGCAAGTAGATGTTATGTCATTTTTTTTATTTTGAGTTTACAGACTGGTTTTGTAATGAGAACCATGATTTCTTTCTTGTCATTTAAGGTACATTCTTCTGAAGGAGAGAAATGTGATAATGACATTGGAAGCAGAGCTGGAGAGACAGGGCAAATTTTTAACAGATGGATGGAGAATGGAAAAAGTAAGTCAGATAAAAATATCTGAATGTTTTAGTTCACCTGCTCTGAAAGTTCAAAGTTCAGAGTGATCTTTTGCAGCTAATCAGTCACTTTTCTGTTGTCAGTTGATAAGCTTTGCACATTTTATTTAAAAAAAATTTAACAGTAGAAATTGAGTAATTTCTGATTAACCATACAGAGCATCCTGAACTAGAATGTTCAAAGATTAAAGTTTTTCAATAAAAGGGTTATATGTTTCTAATTAAGGGAAATGATAAAAATGGATAGGGTCATTTCAGAAATATTCTGCTGAAAAGCCATATTAGTTCATTTATCACAAACTAGAGAGGAAAATATCTTTATGAAAGATAGACCCAAGTTGGCTAAAAGCTATCCTTGATCAGGCCACTAAAAGTGGTTAAGGATATTTTAAGGAATTTGTTTAAAATTTATACATATGGGGGCATCAGTGTTTCACAAACATATCTTGTTTTTATTTCACCAGGGTATTTTAATTAAAAATTACAAAGGAGAGTATTTAAAAAAGCAAGCCTATGTAAAATATATTCTTGTATTTTCAGGTAGAAGTTAGCATGGAAAATCTGTTATATGTTGTGAAGGAGAGAGACATTGCTTATAACAAGTTAGAAACAGGAGAAACTGGTGAACCAAAAATTTATCAAATCAGAAATTCGTTAGGCCTTAAGTACAACCGCACTGAATCAGAACATTTAGTCCCACAATTCATGAACAGGAAGTTCAGACTAATGCACTCCAAATATGAACCATGGATGGCCAAATGGATACACAAATATGAGGAAATGAAACGTTTAAGGCAAGGAAAGCGTGAGAACTATTACAAATTCCAAGCTAAAATGCTGCAGAAAAAATATGGACTCTCAGAGAAAGAAGCTGTGAAATCTGTTAATTATCACAGACAGAAAAGCAAGAGAATGAGGGATTTCTCTGTTGTTTAATATTAATTTGAATAAACTTTTTGTCTTAAACCTCTCTCTTTATTTTCATTGCAAAAAAAAAAAAATACATATGATTATGACTTTAGGTCTGTTTAAAAAGATCCATTTGGGTTTCAGCTTAGCTGAGGCAACAGTGCAAATTACACTTAGTAAGATATGTAATGGATATATGCCGAATACTGTTCTATATGTAAAATTATCAGACTGTTTGAGGCCCGTTAGGGCCGAAAACAGTCTGATAATTTTACATATAGAATTGTATGAGGCGTATATCTTACTTAAAACATTGCTATTTAAATGTCCAAAAGTTACCTGGAGGAGTCCGATAATTACACAATAGGAGTTCAGGCATCAATAGTTTTCTACCTGAAACCATCTAATAAGTAGACAAAAGAAAAGAGAAAGTTTTTTTTTCTTTAGACAGTAAAATCAGTGAGTGAACTCTTTTGTTTCATTCATTCATTCAATGGCAGTCGTTTGGCTTAGCAGGAACTATGGACAGTGGTCAGGTGATGAAGGATTTTTTTTATGATTCGGAATAATTTTTTTCATTAAGTGCGTTTGAGATTGATACAGATAAAGTGTTGGATAATATCTTCAAAATGCATTTGAAGTAAAAATGCGGATTTTTATCTAAAATTTCAATTGGATGACATAATGAAAATCTTGGATTTCAAAAGTGAGGTCATTGACGAACAAATTTCGTTAAATGAAGAGATTCGCAGACTGGTTCTTTATCAGAAATGGATTTAAATTGGCTTATTCACGGTGCTGTATCGAAAACGCTTTGCAAAAACCGATTAGAAAGTGTTAGTTTTGAGGAAGGTTAAAACTCCAGCTTCTTCTTGGATTTGCTATTTTTAACAACATAATTTCCTCACGTTCGCTTTCCCGGAATTTTTCTCCCTAAATTAATTTTTGGTTTCTGGACAAATTAAACCTTGATTTCACTCTAGTTGTTGTTTTTTACTGTCCGATTTTGTTATCACTGCCGTCCGATAATATATTATTGGACTGTTAATTATTATTATCGGACGGCTACAGGTAAATTTTTAGACTGCAAGAACAAAGGCATGACGTCACAGCAATGTTTTAAGTGAAAATACAGTATTTCCAAACAAAAAATTCTCAGGAACCATATAAACATACATCTTTTAATCAATAAAATAACCTTTCATATGTTGCTGTTACAGTACAGATTGTGCCTTTAGAGTGAAGAATGTCTGAGAAGTCAGTTCATACCTTCATGAACTTTCCAAATTGAAAGAAATTACTTAAATTGCACGAAAAGGTTCAATGTTTTTTAAAAGAAATTTTAGACTTCTTCCTCAAGAATAATGGGAGATTTTTTTCAAACTATTGTGGAAGCAACAGTACTATATCATATACTAGTAGTGTGAATTGAGATCGTAGTAATTTTCCCCTTTAGTCCATTTGGTAAAGTAGTAAGATTTGGGTGGTTGTTTCGACCTATGGGCTTTTTGTCCTCAAATCTGACCATCTGCACCAAAAAAGGAAAACTAATGTATTTTATATATCTTTAAAAGAACGCCACAATTTAGGGTGACGGTGGCCCTTTTGAGCATATACATAAATATATCTAAGAAGTCCCCGTTTTGTTCTGCTAAAGAATGTTCCCTAACAGGCCGTACTTTTAGGAAATTGCTAAATAACTCGGGTTACTCAACAGATAAGACATTTCCAACTTAGTTAAAGACAAGAAAAAAACAGTTTGAAGGCTAAATATTTAGCCTTAGAGCTGACTCTCCAAAGAAACAGAATAGCAAACCAAAAGAGCAAGATGTACCGAGCAGATAACCATCCTCACAACGTCACGGGTGTGTCTACACGTTGCTGTTGGACCCCTGACAAATTTCATTCGATATTCTACGGGCTTGCTTCCCCTATTGAGAAGCACCAATCAGATCGGGGCTTTCATCAGATGATATATAACGTAAGCAGAAAGTAAGCAGCCGACTCTTCAAAGCACGAATGCTCAATGCACGTGTTACAGGTTGTTTGTCACCAAAAGGGTTGATGTGATTCGTCGAGAGATCGATAAGAAAAAACAATCAAGATTTATTTTTTTCCCCGAAAGAGGTCACTGCAGTCAGCCCGTAGAATATCGAATGAAATTGGTCAGGGGTCCAACGGCAAAGTGTTGACTCAGGACCCCTGGTGTGAGGATGCGAGCTCGACTATCTTTTCTACCCTCAAATCGTATTTCTTACGAACTTCAGCATCAGTTGTTCAAATCAATGAATTTAAAAGACACTTAGTATTAAGATCAATTTATTCAGGGCAAATGTTAACATATTTTTCAAGCCTCTCCATTTCTCTGTGAGCAGCTTCAATTTCTTTCTGGATTCGGGCTTCCTCTCTGTTCTGTTGGGCCCGGTCCTGCTTTTCGGCCTGTGCCTTCTCTTGAGACTCTGACAAACAGAAACAGTAAATTAACCAACGGAAAAATGTACAACATTTAATTTAGTTACCCATTTAAAAATTTGCTATCCCAAGTTTCACCCCTTACATCCCATAGATAGGTTTCTTATATATATATGTATGTATCCGGACAGAGTTTTAACTGTTTGTCCAACTCGAAAACTAGGTATATTCATTGTAAACTTCACATGTAAATTAATATTTATGTTATGCTGTCAACAGATATTAACCTTAATATTACATGAATAATTAAACGAATAGCTGTTTTAATTGTTTAAGTATTTGATTTTTAATTACCTCTCCATTTCTCAAAATCCTCTTTTTTGTCCTCGAGCAATCTGGGTGGTGGCATCTTTGGTGTATCCTCCGAGAGGAATGTAAGACCAAATGCCACACCACCTTTCTTTTCTGTCACTTCGTTTGTAACCATTGTTCGCAGTACTTTCTCGTAAACCTCCTTTTCCTCCTTCAACACTCCCACTTTGTTCTTTTTGGCGAAACAGCTCTGAAAGATACCCATGATCTTTTCAGCTACGTCTCTAACAACAAAAGATACTCTTTGTGACGTCACAATGATTGTTATTTATGATGTCATAATCCTTAAAGACATTGCCAAACTTCCGCCAGAGTTCGTTTGTACCAAACTCTCTCTAGATGAGGCCTCGACGAGTTTGGACATTGCATCAAAATCCCCCCTCCCTTTATAATATTATAATTATCATCGTCATCATAAAAAATGGAAGGAAATAATCTTTAAAAACCACTAAATGCAGCAATTTTAGGGAAAATAAAAGAATATAATTATAGTCGAGTTAACGTCCAAAATATGGAAGTACATACTAAAAGCTTGTGAAACTGGGTTTTAAAATATAACTTATAAGTAGTACTTTTTATTGATATATTATTTGATTTATATACTCAATAACCTTTATGATTCTACATAAATTTCTTATGATGTAGAATGTCCCCAGACAGTCGTTTTATTGAATTGTTGAAAAAAAATATATATATGTATACTAGATCTTTTATTTTCAAGCTTAACTTTCTTTGCTCTCTCAAAAATGCACAGACTATCTTTTTTCCACTTTGAAAACGGGCATCTCATGTGTTATCCAGTGATCATCCCTTATGCTACCTTGACCTTAACTCACACTACAGAATTTAGTCCACAAGATCCAAAGTTATATGTGGTCTACTTTTTTTTCTACAAAATTTATTTTTAAGAATAAGGCAACGAAGTTCCCTTGAATTTTTATTAAATAACACCCCTCCCAGACACACATCCCTTTGTATAAATTCGAAATGAAATTCTACAAGAAAACACAAATCACCTCAAAAAATAAATTAATTAACTGAAGAAAAAAAACCCAATAAAATACACACCTACATGAAAACCTTTTTTGAAGAAATTATTGAGGGGCCATTCTTTTACCATTAGGGAAACTATAAATATAAAGTGACCACATTAATTATCAGAATAGTACATTAACCGTATCAATAATCTGTGTTGTTATAAGAATTTTGACTAGTTTTCAAATCTGTAAAACTCTGCTCCGTAGTTCTTGGAAACAAGTGCACGTGTTGATTGTATATTTTACCTATTGTTTATGAATTTTTTTAGAAGCAAAAGTGCCTGCCTACTTCAAGTCATATAATGAGGTACTCTGTTTTGTTTGGAGAAATTCTTCAAAGCTACTTTTTAGTTAGTTTTAAACATTTCAGCATCAAAAGTTCAACATCCTTGTATGTTTCTATCGTTTATTTTAAGGATACTAAAAGTCCTGTATCTGAACTTTTGGAAACGGAAATCACTCCAAAAGAAGAATCTTGTATAAAACCTGCAGGAAACGACAAATAAATCGATGAATATTTCTCTTTTCTGCGACATAATTCTCCCAATTTTAGTGTTTCTTTTCAACATTTTTAAAAATTCTGGTATACTAGTATTTCCATCATCATGGTTAAAAGCAGTTATCATTCCAATACACAAAAAGGAAAGACTAATGATCCCGGAAACTACAGAGGTATCAGCATCACAGGTACTCTAGGAAAGCTATTCAAATCAATTCTAAACGAAAAATGATGGAACTTCAATGAAGATATTATCACTAACGCACAATTTGGATTTCAGGATGCATGGCTTCTCCACTACAGATGCAATGTTTGCGCTTCAAAATTTAATATCACAAAAGTTAAATAGCAGACAATGTTTTCACAGGCTGTTGTTTCGTATATGCGGCCATCCCTTCTTTTTCTGTGGAAAGAAAAAGAAGGGGGGTGAACCCATATACGAAACAGGTTTACATTGCTGTTTATGGAATATAGAAAACGTTTGATAAAATTAACAGAAAAAAAAATTATGGTCTAAACTGATAACTGGATCGCTCTACATTGGTGAACGTGTCTTTGTCAAGAATGCAAGTTATATATCCTAGGAGTTTCCTGTAAACACTGGGCTATTACAGGGGAAGCACTATCACCTATACTAATCAATATGTATGTCAACGACTTGAAAAATCATTTCATCAAACATAATTGTCCATCCGTAGAATAAACGGAACTGAATATGTTTGTCTTGATGCATCGTAATATTCACTTAAAACATTGCTGTGACGTCATGCCTTTGTTCTTGCAGTCTAAAAATTTACCTGTAGCCGTCCGATAATAATAATTAACAGTCCAATAATATATTATCGGACGGCAGTGATAACAAAATCGGACAGTAAAAAACAACAACTAGAGTGAAATCAAGGTTTAATTTGTCCAGAAACCAAAAATTAATTTAGGGAGAAAAATTCCGGGAAAGCGAACGTGAGGAAATTATGTTGTTAAAAATAGCAAATCCAAGAAGAAGCTGGAGTTTTAACCTTCCTCAAAACTAACACTTTCTAATCGGTTTTTGCAAAGCGTTTTCGATACAGCACCGTGAATAAGCCAATTTAAATCCATTTCTGATAAAGAACCAGTCTGCGAATCTCTTCATTTAACGAAATTTGTTCGTCAATGACCTCACTTTTGAAATCCAAGATTTTCATTATGTCATCCAATTGAAATTTTAGATAAAAATCCGCATTTTTACTTCAAATGCATTTTGAAGATATTATCCAACACTTTATCTGTATCAATCTCAAACGCACTTAATGAAAAAAATTATTCCGAATCATAAAAAAAATCCTTCATCACCTGACCACTGTCCATAGTTCCTGCTAAGCCAAACGACTGCCATTGAATGAATGAATGAAACAAAAGAGTTCACTCACTGATTTTACTGTCTAAAGAAAAAAAAACTTTCTCTTTTCTTTTGTCTACTTATTAGATGGTTTCAGGTAGAAAACTATTGATGCCTGAACTCCTATTGTGTAATTATCGGACTCCTCCAGGTAACTTTTGGACATTTAAATAGCAATGTTTTAAGTAAGATATACGCCTCATACAATTCTATATGTAAAATTATCAGACTGTTTTCGGCCCTAACGGGCCTCAAACAGTCTGATAATTTTACATATAGAACAGTATTCGGCATATATCCATTACTTACACGCTAAAGGAGCGACAGAATATATATATGCTTTACGCTTTACATGGATATGTTTCTTCTTGAAATTTGACTGTCAACACTGCAGAATCCAAAATTTTAGCATTCAGAAAAAGAGAGACGGAAGGTACAAATACATGGACTTACGACAAAGAAATCTTGTAGACTCTTTCAATTAATTTGGATTATGCTTGAATTTTAACAGTAATGCTACTCAATAGAAATGCCAGCAAGCACTATCTGCATGGTTTGAACCGTAATATACACAGGCACGTAGCAACAGGGGAGGGCAAGGGGGCCTGCCCCCCCCCCCCTTTTTTCCAAACATGAATTTTTACTACTGAAAATGTTCATTGAATGGATGGTTGCCCCCCCCCCTTTTGTTGCAGTATATAGTCAAATAAGGGTAATGTAGCAGTGCATGAATAAAATTTGGTACTGAAAGAAGTTGGACCCCCCCCCTCCCACCCCCACTACGAAATAGGATTTTCGAGTTTGGACAATTTTCCTTTTTTTTTTGCTTGTCAAGTTTTGTTCAGGTGAGTTGGAATATTTTTTCTCTGGCTGCCTCCCTTTTAAAAACGGTGCTATGTCGCTGATACAAAAGTTTGAATTCAACAGAGACGTGTCAACTCTGATAATCTGTTTATGTTGGAAGTGTTATTTCTTATAGAAATGTAAAATCTTATACGGTAGAAGTGAAATTTTGGGTTTTCATGAATCACTTGAAATTGAATGGTTACATTTATTCTTTTGTAAAAATATTCTTGGAGTTTGGAACAATGTTTGCAATTACAGGATTCTTATACAAAGAAAAATGAAAATGATGTAATTTTGGTGTAAACTATTAAAAACTAAAAATTGCATTTTGAAAAAAATCTTCTTACGATGTGATCTGATGCAGATCGAGAAAATTGGTCGGGTTCTAGCATAAACTGAGCACGTGATGTAATTTCACTTCATTCTTCAGTGTCCTAAATATTTGAATTTAAGAAAAAAAAAACATAAATTAGTATTATTATAAATCACCTAGTTCATTTAAATTACTACAGTTATTGGTTCACAACACATATCCACGCCGGTCGGTTTGGAGAAATATATTCATATGTTCTTATGTCAAATAATGCTAAATTGTCAGTTAAACCAAATATATTTGTATTAGTTTGATTTTCCACTCTACACGTTTATATTAGGATTTAATAGCATTGCTACAAATTGTTGAACAATTGTATTCTATTACATAATGATATGCATATTCATCTTTCTCTGTATAGAAAATGGAACTGTGGAACGTCTCATCAGGGGTGTCTGTCCCAGTTTTAGACTTCTTCAGAATAAAATTATTACAATGTGGGTACATACCTCTAATTATTTTTAGAATCGGTAGGAGAAGAAAGTAGTGCAGAAAAAATTACAAGTTTTTTAATTTGCAGACCTGAGTAAAAAAAAACTGTGATAAGGTATTAAACTGAGCCTCATACTTGTTGATAAGGAGTATGTTCCCTTGCAAAAAAGCTTGGCAGATGTAATTTATCAAGAAGATCAGCAGAATTATTTTATGTATTATAACACCAGTGAGAAGTCTTGAAATCCCCTACTTTCACTTTCATTTTCAGAGGTTAACGCAGACAGACGCATTTTGCCGGAAAACGAATCTGACATGCCACCTCGAGATTTTAACCAAGGAAAGACAACTTGATGTGCTTTGATTTGAGGGGTCACTCAATGCTGAACGAAAATTAGGGACATTGCTATGTGAAGAAATGTTAACATTGCCGCCTATGGGAAAACAATTAGTGGGCTGTACCCAATATGTGAAGCCTATTGGTAAGTGAAAATTCTCATAGATCTTTACTTTGTTTTGAACTCGGTGTTTACTATCATTTCCAATTGTTTAAATTTATGAAAGAAGCAAATTTTAATTTGTTTATACATATTTTGAAACAAATCGATTTGTTAATACCCCCCCCCCCTTTTTAGGAACAGACAGCTTATGCGCATATATGCATATCTCC